GGTCCGGCCTCCCCCTCTCTCGCGGCTGCCGCGGCGGTGGGCCCGTCGGCTCTCTCTAGCCAGGGGCGGGGAAGCCGCGCGTGTCTGGGGCCCGACCCCACCGCCTCCTCCCTTTCTGTGAGCGTGAAGCCGGGGAGCCCTGCGCCGTGAGCACGGTGATTCAGATTCCCGTACCTGCGAATCCCGCCCAGTCCCGGAGAGCCGAAGGCGGAGTGCGGAGCGTGGCGGTAGTGGGACAGAAGGGAGCTCGTCCTTGTAACAATCAAGTCACCGGTGTGCAGGGTCCTGTACACGGGAGGGGCTGTCACTGGGGAATAGAGTGTGAAGGGATAGATGTGTAGTTTTGAAGACCACGCTGGCTGCGGTGGAGCTAGATTATCGCTTCTGAATAATTCACCCGGGAAAGTCTTAATGTAAATAAGCTCATTTAATTTCCTCTTTTAACTGGCATTTTGGAAACTAGCAATACTGGAGAGCTGATTATGGACTAACATCAGGTCCAGCAGTATTCGTGCCGTCAGGATCTCAGGCAGCTGGACATTCCCTGGAAGGGTCCCTTCTGCGCCCCGGCAGCACCGCCGTCTTCTCCACAGGAGGAGGCCAGACCACGGCTGGCCCAGAGCTTCCAGGTGAGAACCACGGCAGCCAGCGAAGAAACGGGCAACCACGGCAGAGTGGGGCAGAGCAGAGGCTTTCCAATGGGACGGACCTGGGGTTCCGGCTCTCCTGGCCAAATACTGAACTTTAAACAAATTGTTGTTTACCTCTTTAAGTCTGTTATATGCACAATGGCGGTAACAAAAGCCCACTGTAATGCAGTTACAAAAGAAGTTACTTTATTAGACTTTTAAACAATGTTTAAGTAGTGGAATCATTCTAACAACAAACAGATCTACTCATTGCATACAATTCCAACCAGTTTCAGTTCTCCCATATCTCATGCCAAGGACCTGTCAAAGCTCCTTGCAGCAGTAAAGTCCACACCTCAGTTTATGGGAGAAGTGATCAGCTGAGCCCAAGGCTTTTATTCACATATTTATCACATAGTACTTGATACACATTGAAGTACCAGTGTTTTTGTAAAAGGTCAAGCCCCTTGTGAATCAGTGTTAGATTTAAATAAACTTAGGCACAGAACTAAACCAGGCATCATAAAACCCTTGTGGTTCCATGGTCGAGTCACACCAATCCCCAAGTTTTTTTGCCTCAATGTTATCTCACCTGTTACCAGGGGAGATTAACCCTTGTGACAATTATTTGGGTGCTTGCTTTTGGAAACTAAGTACAATACAAATAAGGTAATTCATGACGGAAGCTCTCTAATTGCTATGACACTCCCTAAGAAAAGTGCTCTGGGCAACTTTAGGGAATGAAGATAGGAATTACATATAATTACATAACATGAAGTTTAATTTCTATTACATTTTTAATTTCCAGGTCTTGATTTCTCTTAGCTCTAAACACATGTGAATCTTTTGGAGGGCTTTAAAAAGCCAGGAGAAAAGGAGATATCACCTTTACCTATGTGGAATTAATAGTACAGTAAACACAGCTAATACCAAGCCTTCATGTGCAGGTACTGTAATATGCTCTCTTCATGTTTAACTTATTCAGTTCTTAGTTATGAGGTAGCTACCATTATATCTGCCATTTTGCAGATGGGGAACCTGTGGAGAGATAAGTTAACCTGCTTAAGGTTCCAAAACCAGTTACTGGCAGAACTTTATTTGAACCTACTTAATCTCGATCCTGAGCCTGTGCTCTTGACCACTACAGTACTATTGCAATAGGTGCAATTCTCTCCCATAGTACTAGGGAACTTAACAAAACACTCAGCTTTTACTCATCTATTTTTAAAAATATCCTTATAGAAGTATAATATACATTCCACTGATCTAGTTTTACAATAAACTGTCAGTTTAGTACGTTAATTCTATAAGGAAAATGTTTAAAATCTCTTCTGGAGTTAACCCCAGGAAAAGATTCATGTGCACAATTTAGAATACAATTTTAGGTAGTTTATAGACCACTGAAGCCCATCCATGAAAAACCACTAGGGACCATATTGGCCAAAGGTTAAAAACAAACAAAAACACCCAACCCTCCCCTAAAATCTTAGGCTTTTAGAATTTAAATTTAAATGACTATAGTAATTTTGCTACTCAGTGTTGTCCCTCTTTTCTTAACTTTCCAATACTACTACTGATACTATTGTTTTTCCTCTTGCTTTCTTGCAGTCACAGATAAAAATGAGAGAAGACAGGATGGTACTTCTAGTAATTAATGGGCAGCAACTACTTATAAGCATCATAAACACATAGGTATATTGTGCCCTAGGTAGATCCAATAAAAGAGGTAGAAAAAACTGGATTTTTATTTCTATCAACAGGTTCACACAGGCTTTTTCTAGGGCATTTAAAAAAGATTCTATTTAACAGAACTAAGTTGCATATAACCTTTTAGGAACATAATAAAATAAAATCATCTGTAAGCTTATATGTGTAATCCTTTAACTGGGAAATCAGTGAAAGATAAGATGAGAAAACAAGGCTAAAGTATTTATAATAATTCCAAAAAGACTTGGTAGTTCACTATGTAAAATTTATTTTTTTATAAAAAATGTATAACACCGGCACCTACTCTTAAATCAGTTAATTTATGAAACCATTCTCTTGTAGAATACACATTGGCATCGAAACATTTTAAAGATATGTAATGGCTATCTACAAAAAATTAGTTTTCATCTATTGTATTCCCCCCATACTTTGAGTCTGCACACATAAAAGAAAATTAACATTTTCTAACATTTTATATTCAGCAATTAAAAAAAGTACAGTTTACCTGCTATGGTCTTTAAAGGAATTTAAGTTTCAAGTAAAAATGAAAAGGTACTAGGATAACTCTGCTGTATCTTTTAACAGCTTTTTTATATAGAACAATTTGAATCGGCATGCAAGCAACTTCTCTCGTTGTCACATACCTGTACTTCGGGAAAATTACACACATTTTACAGAAAAATCCCAATACATATACTGCAATAAGTTCAAAGCAAAGTTAAAAAGACTGGTGTGAATAGCACACAAAAACTGCTTCTTTATAAATTATTAACTGGAATTTCTGATCATAACTCCTGATCATGAAGTAGGCACAGGGAGATCCAGTTCTTAGGGCCTTGCTCTTTGGAAGAACACCTGCAAATAAAGTATTAGTACAGTCAGTACTGATGTCCAAAGATACCACCTTTTACTTGAAGAATGGCTCTAAGTTACTGAGTGCTAGCTACTCTTTTGTAAAATTCAGTAGATATTGCCCTGGCCGGTGTGGCTCGATGCACCAAAAGGTTGCTGGTTTGATTCCCAGTCAGGGCACATACCTAGGTTGNGTTGGTTGTCTTCCCATGCACCAAAAGGTTGCTGGTTTGATTCCCAGTCAGGGCACATACCTAGGTTGTAGGTTTGATCCCTGGTAGGGGTGCCTACAGGAGGCAACTGATCCATGTTTCTCTCTCTCCCCCCCCCTTCCTCTCTCTCTAAAGTCAAAGATATTTAAAACATTTCACATCATAAATCCACACATAACACAAGAACTTTGTCTTCTGGACAATCTGATAAAGTCTAGAAAGATTCAAGTGGTCAGAGGAAACCATGATCTTGACACATTCTGCTGACTGGCACTACTGTCAAATACTGAGAAATTAAATTTTGAGGAAGAAACAAGTTAAAACTATAGATAACAGTTGTTATCCCTTAAGGAATTTACTATTTATTTGATTGTAACAAAATATGGATAGCTCAGCTGGTTAGAGCGTTGTCTGGATAGGCCAAGGTTGTGGGTTTGATCCCCGGTCAGGGCACATACAAGAATCAACCAATGAATGCATAAATAAAATAGAACAACACACTGATGTTTCTCTTCCCCAACCCCTCTAAATTTTTAAAAAACCTTAAAAAAAATACTTTCAACATGAGACTATGGACGAGTAGGCAAGAGGCTGTGCTAGGCACTGGCCCAGTATTACATATTACTGTCCATAGTTAGGTACATGTTAAGTGACCACTAGAAAGAGTAAATGGGCCCGGCCGGGCGTGGCTCAGCGGTTGAGTGTCGACCTAGGAGCCAGGCGATCAGGGTTCGATTCCTGGTCAGGGCACATGCCCGGGTTGCGGGCTTGATCAATGACTCTCTCATCATTGATGTTTCTATCCCTCTCTCTCCCTCTTCTTTCCTCTCTCTGAAATCAATATATATTAAAAAAAAAAAAAAAAAAAAAGAG